TCTATCTATCTATCTATCTATCTATCTATCTATCTATCTATCTATCTATCTATCTATCTATCTATCTATCTATCTATCTATCTATCTATCTAATTCTTACTGGCATGGTTTGGCTCAGTCCATTTTAACTGACAGAGCCTTAGTGCAACATCAGAGACATGGATCTGCAGGCCGGCAGTGTGTAATATCCTCTGACGTGAAAGCAATAGCAGCCTATTTCTCATAAATACTTAAAACCTTTAGAGGGCTGTTAGAGATGGTCTAGTGAGTTGATACAAAAATCACACACAAAAGCCAAAATACAGCCCTTATCAAATGGCTCTTCAGGAACACATCCTGATATTGCATCTGGCAAATACAATCCCCGGAGCAGTGATTTATGTGTAACCTAATATTGAAACCAATAAAGATGGTGCAGCGCTCTTAATTTGTAGATTACCCAGTTTTATGTTTCCATCAAAAGTACATCTTGGCTCAAAATGATATTTCTAATAAATGTTCCAGTCAGTTGAGTCAGTAAAGTGCATATTACCGACCGTGTTTCACTATGTAGGAGCTCCCTACTGCAGATAATTAACATGCCAGCTAATATATAAATAATAACCCAATTGAGATTAACAACAAAAAAAACCTGATTGACATTTTTAAAAGCTGCAGTGTGGTTTTGTTGTTAACGCGTCCATATAGTGCACTTTCTTCTGTCAACTTTAAAGGTGTACAAATTTAGAGCGTTATTGATAGCTGACCTTTGTGAGGTGTCAGCAGGACCACATCCGCGAGTGTGTATGTGTGTGCATGCATGTTTCTGCGAGCGTGCCAGTATGCGTGCATGCGTTTGGTCTTTTATCACCAGCTCTTATGCGCGGTATAGGCAGTCCTTACTGAATCTTACTGTTGTCAAGAGGGTGCCTTTTTTTAGGTGGCATGTTATCCGCAGACATACTATCAGCCGTGCATTCTGACAGGGCCAGGCTAGATGATGCAATACATTATGTCTGGTATGCACAGATCCATGGGTGATACAGGTGTAGACATACTAAAGGCAGAGCTTAGGACCTTATATATGCACGTTATAGAAAAAAATAACCAGGCTACCAAGGCCTCCTGGACGTATGTGGCTACATATGGTTAAAGGAATCTTTCCCAAGCCCCTCCCAGAGTCAAGAATGGGTGTAAAGCATTCGTAGTAGAGCCGGTCACCATTGTGCATCACTCATTTAGTGGAGTCAAGTGTTGATGTAAGTGCGGTCCAAAAGCTGGCCTTGGATACAAGATACTGTATACTGAAGCTGGCCACGATCAAGAAACCATGACATGACAGTTCACGAAAAAAAAATATCAGGATCTCTGACCTTCATTCAAATGTAACTGTGTAACGTTACCTTTATTCAGCCACGTCATATCTGCCATTGTCTAATGTCCAAGCCCTAACATATACTACCGAAGTGCCCTCACAGCCTCTTTTAGAACAGCCCACAATAAAGGACCGCAGGCTGGCACATGGATCTTGTGAGAAAATAACTCTTTTATCTGAGCAGTGGCACTCTGTCACATCTTTCCACTGTTGCTTTCCAAAGAGATCCACATTTGGAACAGCTGATACTGAGGTCCACTCATCTGGCTAATGTTAAAGTAGCACATTGGTGCTGAATGAGTGGATGGCATATGAGTACACCAGGACATTGTCTGGCGGTGACATCATGCTACTTCCACTTCCAGACCTGCTTTGATGTCTGAGAGCTGACCAGGTGAAATGCCTAAGCAAATCTGTGAGAGGCTGCTGATGATAACGCCTGCCTCATCTCTCTGTTTAGTAATGCCACAGACGAAAGTTCACGTATTTAGGATGACCTTCCACCTCATATTTAGTGTTGTAAAATCGTGTTTGCTTGTGTTTTAATTTCCGTTTGCTTTAATGTCTTTTACCCTCATTAACTGCAGTCATTCAGATGTCTCTTTTAATTAAGATGGCTGCTTTCCATGTTTGTTTTCACTGGCTCAGAATCAATTTCCACCTCACACTGATGGAAAAGAGAGGACGACTCTAAATTCTGCCAACCATCCATTATTCATCCAACATGGTGCAATTTACCTCAAACCCAACACTCTGGCCTCTGCACCGCCTCTGCGCTCTATCAATCAAAAAGAGTGAACAATGCCCAGTGAAAATGTCAAGTGTCAGTCATGACTCTTCAGTCTGTATGAAGCGCTGGTACTGCAGCGTTGTGACAGATGTTGAGGAAACGCTGACACGACAGAACGGAGAAAAACGATGGATGAGAGACGTTGAAGGATAATAGAGAATGACACTGTCAAGTACAGAGAGGAACAGAGGAGCAGGATAAGTGTCGCGGACTAAATTTTAGCTTATACAAGTTGACATCATCATTTGTCTACATGTCCAGACGTGATTGCCTCACGGGAATCTTGAGTGCATGACAGTGCACATTATAGCAAAAAATACTTGAAGTCGTGTTGCCTACACAGAAATATTACTCAAATAAAAAGTTCCCTATAGACATACAATACTGGGAATGAACAGCATCATGTCATGGTTATGTATCAGGTTGCATAATTTAAATTAATTAGAAAATGTTATGTTTCAGCAACCAGAAAATCTCCCTCACGTATCGATTGGTAACCGAATACAGATTTCCATT